TTCTTCTCTTATCACTACGTCCTCTTGATAGTAATATAGGTAGTAGATATTTATCATTGATTCGGTCAATAACCTTGTACAATAAATTTTCATTTTTACAACGTATTACATGCAAAATATGATTTATTTTTCATTGAAAAAATTAACAAAAATAAAACTAAAATGGTAATATGTTATATTGTTTAGGAATGCCCGACATGTTATAATAAATACCGTTTTTCGAATATCTTTCCTAAATTGAAAGTATCACAGGTTTTTTTGTCGTTTGTATGCCTTTTGCGACCACCTTATAGTTATGAAGAAACAATGTTTTCACATACTAGTCCTGAAGGCAGGGCCCCAAAAATCGAAGGTTTAATTGTAAATTACGAAAGTTTATGTTATTCTGAGTAAAAAGAATCTTTCTTCCAGAGCCGCAGCTTTTAAAAAAGACAGCTGATTTAAAGAATATTAGGCCAGAAATTTGAAGATCGAAACAAGAAATCGATTGCTAAAATAATAAAATCAAAATAATATTACTTAATTAATATAACAAAATAATAAGTTTACGAGTGTTTTTGTCGTTTTCACATGTTGGGGATATGCGATTCATGCTGACTTTAAATCAATTATCTCACATGATGCAATTAGCCCTGGAGCCAGGGCCCAAAAATCGACCTCATCGCAGGCGAAGGTTTGATTGTAAATTACTAAACTGCATGTTATTGTGAGTAGAAAGAATCTTGTCGTTCAAGCTATTTTAAAAATAGCGACTGATTTAAAGAATATTAGGCCAGTAATTTGAGGATTGAAACGAGAAATCCGTTGCGAAAAATGAGGAAAAAGTGTTTGTTTGTTTAACTTGTATATGTATGGGTTTAGATAAAAAACGAAATTGCTAACCTGGGTCACAAAGGGACAAACGTTTTACAGTAAAAAAAAGTCAGATTTTTCGATATGTTTTTGTTTTTTTCACCTATAACTCCTAAAAGATGAATCAAAGAGAAAAATGTACTCCTTAATTAATTAAAGAAGGTTAAATTGTGCGTCGAACGAGTACATAAACTTTATAATTTGGTGAAGTATAATTAGGAATAAAACCACGGTCAACCAACATTGATTTTTACCAAATTTCTCCAAAACTGAGAAAAATTGCTATAAATTGTTCTGCAACTTAGAAATGAGTTACATAAGAGGAAACCTCCATATAATCAAAGTTATAGAGAATGAAATTTTGTGTCCACTGAATACTGACATTTTTATGGAAGGCCAATTTTGTATATCTAACAACGAATTGGGATTCGTTAATTCCTTTTTGAAATGCGGTATGTTTAGACACACCTTTTATCAAAATCCTTCGATGCTGAGAGGTGGAAAAGAGGCATATACATTTAAGAGACTCTAAACAAAAATAACTCAGTAGAATAGACGCCCATACTGTTGAAATATTGAAAATCGCGTTTAGCTTCATTACCAATTTCTAACCATCGGGAGATTAGTGATTTTGTTCGCAGTAAGTGATCTACGTTAAATTAGTCAGTACTCAGTTCTCGCAAAATTTGATGCTCTACAACTTTGATTCTATGGTTTTTTCCCTCTTATGGAACTCATTTCAGCAAGTTGCAAAGCCATTTATAGTAAGTTGTCTCAGTTTTTGACAAATTTGGTAAAAATCAGCGTTAATTGACGGTGGCTTTATACCTTACCGCGTGACCAAATTATAAAGTGTATGTACTCGTTCGACTAAAAATTTAACGTCCTTTAATTTATTAAAAAGCACATTTTTCGCTTTGACGCATCATTTAGGAGTTACAGGTGAAAAAATCTCACTTTTTTGGCAGTAAAAATGCTGTTCTTTACATGTCTAAACCCATATATACAAGTTAAAAAAATAAATTCTTAAATTTTTCTTAATGGACTTCTCGTTTCGATCCTCAAATTATTGACCGAATATTCTTTAAATGAGCCACCGTTTTTTAAAACAATAGCTCTGGAATGGTAGACAACGTTCTTTTTATTCAGATTAACATACACTTTCGTAATTTACAATCAAACCTTCGCATGCGATGAGGTCGATTTTTGGGACCTGGCTCCAGGGCTAATTGCATCATTTGAGATAATTGATTTAAAGTCAGCATGAATCGCACATTTCTAACATGTGAACACCACAAAAACACTCGGAAACTTTTAATTTAGGAAAGATATTAGAAAAATGGTATTTATTATAACATGTCGGGTATTCTTGAATAATATAACATAATACCATTAATACCATATTGTTAATCCTATATAATTGTATATTAGTTTTGGAAAATTGTCTGTAGCGATTAATAAGTATGCTGTGTTTAAAGCAACCCAATGTAATTGGGCAGCACCATTTTATTTTATAATAAAGGGATTATCTTACTGTACATAGAGTGTGAATGTGATCTGTGACTAACTATTATAAATGTCCTTGAGACAAATTGTATTATTTTCCAATAAATAAGTGTAAAAAAAAAAAATCAGGAAAGATATTAAAAAAACGGTATTTATTATAACATGTCGGGCATTCCTAAATAATATAACATAATACCATTTTAGTTTTAGTTTTGTTAATTTTTTCAATGAAAAATAAATCATATTTTACGTGTAATGTGTTGTAAAAATGAAAATTTATTGTATAAGGTTATTGACCGAATCAATGATAAATATCTCTTACCTATATTACTATCAAGAGGACGTAGTGATAAGAGAAGAAGAGGAAATCAACATTCAAATTAATGAAGATAAAAGAGAGACTTACCTTTTAATCCAGCTATTCTGTTTTTAAATTCCAGAACAGTGTTTAAAGGTTGGCTCTGCTTTTAAGATTAAATGCCTTTAAAGGCCTAAGGTTTAAATAGATCTGATCCTCTCAAGCTTTTTTTTCCGTCTTTTTAATTATCCTTTGCTCTCTCTATATATATGTATATTACTTAATTAATTAATTTCACATAAAGTATTCGTAAACACACACAATTTTATTTTTCAAGATTATAAGTAATTTGGATTAGAGTTTATATTAGGAATAATTTTGAAAAAATAACTTAAACATAAGTTAGATATTGTTACAAGCTTAGGATCTATTAGGATCTATCTTTTTTATTAACTCGAAGAGGGTTTAATATATAATTAAGTATTAGTTAATTAAGTATTTAGTATTAGTTTTAATAATAAGCGATTGTTTATAATAAGTCTAGTTTTAAGTATTAATTGTAGATATTCTTTTTAAGTCAGTGGAACATGAAACAGCTGATTGGGAGGAAAAAACAAAAGACAGTCGAGTCGAGAGAGAGAGATGGCGGACCTCGCGAGTGTAGAGGCACGCTAAGGATTTTCAGTTGTGAAATATTTTAGTTTTACGGTGTACACCGGATTTTCATTGCTTCTCCAAGAACCTGTGATCATCAGCGACGAGTGCCGCTCGATCTTACAAGTTGGTGAATGAACATTTTCACAACTTGAGGAGATAAATTGTGCAGACATTGAATACGCTAGTTCGAATAAGTTCTCGCTTCTTCAGATAACCCAATGTGTCAATTGGACAGAGTTCAACCAGTAGGATATTGTAAATATGTACATATAAGTTTTTTTTTTCTATATATTTTAATTTGCAAATGTTTGTAATTGGTATATTGTATAGTCGTAAGTTAATGTTTAGTCCTATAATAATTTTATAATCTTTTTTCTTGATAATTAAAGTTAATTGTATTTTTTTTCTTATAAATCTAATTTCTTTTTCATAATTTTCGTTTCCTTTAACAGTTATTTAAATAAATAGAAATAAGTAAATTCATCCTTAGTATTAATAACAGCCAGTTTTATTTTCTTATTTTTCTTCTATTTGTTTTCATGTTTTATGTATATATTATATTGTTTTTTTAAGGTTTAATAAGGAATTGTAAAACCCTATTCGAGGGATTAGGGAAAGTCATTATTAACCAAGTAAGAAGGTTCGATAGGGTTATGAGGTCAATTAACATATGTTTTTAAACCCATAGGTTCCGAGTTCGTAGCTCACTCCGCGTCCTAATCTTTTTTTTTTTAGATTAAATTTATTTTGTTTATTATTATTTTTTTTTATGGTTTTCGCTATTTCCCGAATTCAACCAATTAAATAGCGTGGCGCCTGTTAGTTAGTTAGTAATATTTAATTGACCCTTGATTATTTATTTATTTTTTTTTTTTTTGCGAACCCTGAGCATCCGGCAAACTTAGTTGCGGAAACGATTTTTCCGAATTAAAGACCGTAACACAATCACTTATAAATGTATTCGAAAAGAGGTTTATTTTTATATCTACCCATTTGTTACTATGACGTCATAATTCTTAAATCATTATTTTTTAAAAATCAAAAGTACATGGATTATTTCAGTGATGTGTTTTGTTTAACTAGTTTCATTTCTTAACCTACAGGGTGAATATTTTATTACTCGTCCATTAAAAATTTTATCTATAATTAATTAATGATATCAACTATTGTTTTCATATACTAAAACAAATAATAATTTAGAATATAAACCTGATGATAACTTGTGGAGGAAATATCCAACAGCAGCTCTTCAATGAAATTAAATCAATAAAGATTTATACTTTCCCTTACCTATACATGAAATATATTGCGATGTTCTGTGTGTGTGTGCGTGTATGTTTTACTATTACAATACAATTTTATTTTTCAAGATTATAAATAAGTTTGAATAGTATTTATATTAGGAATCATTTTGGAAAAAATAACTTAAACTTAAAAGTTGGATACTGTTATAAGCTTACATCATTTACTTTTAAATGTAAAAGAAAGGAATGTTACATGTTTTAAAAATGTTTATGCAGTTATCTTTTTTTAATGGACGCCATTTTTAAACGGCCCCATCCACTTTGGACGCTATGGGTGGATATTATATTGGTTTATGATTCAAGTTTTCTTTAAATAAGTCCCAAAATTTTCACCCAACTCTTGGATTATAACAGATTCGTGTGAAACCTACGCCTTCCGTATCCTGTTGGATGACTTCCAACCGCAAGCGACTCCTGTACGACGGATTTCACGCAGTCACCGCAGGGTTGACTCCTGTGACATTTCTCCGAAGGAAAGGAAAACGAGCTCACGTGGGAGAGAACGGATGGCATTGTGGTTTAGCGAGGGATATTAAGATCTGTCGAAATCCCGACCATCTGGGTCTACCACATTCGCCATCTTGTGGAAAACCGTCGTACCGATCGCGGAGGCTGAACATGCTCCATAATGTCAGAGAAAGCATTTGGTCTCGATTTTTGACAATACATATAAATAATATAAACTGAGCAGCTTTCTAAAGTATATCGAATACCAGAAAGGAGAACCATTCGAATAAAAAATGTATTCAAAAAATGAGAATACCCATTTCTTCTAAACTATTGAGTATATAATGATGTAGATATGGTTGACCGTGACATAATATGAGGAGCTGAACGGAGGGGGGAGGTGCGGTCAAATAAATATTTTTATTTTTTTTTTAACTTTTATTATGATATTTACAACTGCATTAGTATGAATACATCAAGTAAATGTGTACAGAGGAATAAAATAACATGAAACACGCTTGTTGAGAAACTACCCATTGGTAGCACTCTAATAATTTTCTACAACTGTATTACATAGAGAATACAATAAGTAAATGAGAAATTGATAACATGGCATGTACAACATGAAGAGAAACTACCCATTGGTAGAACTCAAATTAAAGTTCTATATTAGAAGATCACGAGGCCATCTTCTTTTCAGACTCCTCGGAGGGTTATCAGGTATCGAAGAGGAAGCAAGGTTAGAAACATGAGGATTCGGATGGTTATGAAGTTTATTATGGAAGGATAGGTATCTGGATTCGGCCAAATCGGAAACATATGGAACATTGAGGTCTTTATGGATTATTTTATTTTTGACAAAGTAAGGAGCATTGAGGATTTTGGATTGTAAAGATTGGATACGAGAGGAATTTGATGGTTTAGTGGAGCCCCACAGTTCAACTCCATAAGTCCAAATAGGTCTTATTATAAATAAATATTAAATTATAGAAATAGTATTATTTAATTGTTATGTCGACGTTTCGACCCACCTTGCAGGTCTTCATCAGGGCTACAAAAGATACAAAATATGAAAGGTACGTGGTGAAAATAAAATAAATTAATTATAAGTAGGTATTAAATAATGGTTTTTGAAATCTGGTCCTGCGACGAGTGCGAAGAACACAGAGGTTCTGATGTGAGGAAAACAGTTGTTGTGGATTGTTTGATCTGGCATTGAGTCATCTGGCATAATAATTAAATAATACTATTTATATAATTTAGTATTTATTTGACCGCATCCCTGATCAACTCCTATTGAGTATATAGTTGTACATCGTTAGTCAATATTATAATGTCTGCGAATGTTTTAGCATTAGTGATAATATTGGAAATTAGTTGAATTTAGAGCTATTCGAATCCCTTAAAAGATATTGTTTTGTAGTTAAATCGGAAATTTAATGAAAACTTATGTTACATCAATCCTACCAAAATAATTAACGATTCCTCACTTATAATTGTTGAACCGATCCGATACCTAGGACTCCACCTGGATTAACTTGGAATCCTCATGCCAGGCTAAAAAGACAAGAAACATCTAGACGTTTCCGACTACTCCAACACTTGCTAGACATACGCTCTAAGCTTTTAATCAATTACAAGACTCAGATACATGACAATAATAAGACCTGTCTAGACTTACGGAATTGAGCTTTGGGACTCCACTAAACCATCGAATTCCTCTCGTATGCAATCCTTACAATCTAAAATCCTCAATGCTCCTTACTTTGTCACAAATAAAACAATCCGTAACGATCTTAATGTTCATATGTTTCCGATTTGGCGCAATCCAGATACCTATCCTTCCATAATAAACATCAGAAATATTTAAACCCTCTTGTTTCAAACCTTGCTTCTTTCTCGATCCCTTATAACCCTCTGAGGCGTCTGAAAAGAAGATGGCCTCGTGATCTTCTGGTGTAAATTCATTATTTGAGTGCTACCAGTGAGTAGTTTCTCAACTAGAGAATTCATTTTATTATATTACTGAGTTCACATTTACTAGATGTATTTTTTTTTTTTAAACAGTTGTAAATATCATGAATGAGTTAAAAAAAATGACGTACAGATTAAGAGCTGTGTAATAACAATAATTGCGAGAAATAATTTATTCTGTATAGTTTCGGATTTTAATCATTAAGTTATAAAGACAGTTGATGTTGATATTGATAATTCATGTCTGAATTTTTTAAACCTCTCGTACGAACACAAAGCTTCCCTACCTCCGGTAGTGAGTAAGCAAAATTGATAACAAAATATTCAGTAGTTTTTGTAACTAAAATTTTATTAATGGTTGAATCTAATTTTAAATACTTCTAGAGAGATGACATGTGTAAATTTATAATATTTTCTGAGAACATAATTATTATTATTATTATATGGAACGTGATCTATCAGGCGGTGGTGGAAAGATGACGAAGTATCATTTGATCACGTACCAATCCCGAGATAATCCAAGCATCTTGATAAGACATGGAAGTTGTACATCAGTTTATATCAAACGTGTTTATGTACATGTTAATATTTAAAGCTATATTGTTTATATATTATGTTTTAATTAATTAGGTTCATTATTAATAACTGTATACATTGTTCATTAAACAATACCAAAGGTATAAATAAACAATGTTGTCATAAAAATAATTATATTTGGAATGTTCTAAACAAACCGGTCAGTCTTATTAATATTTTTATTTATTCATACACCTCATAAACAGCCAATTAAGAAAATATTAAGTATTACTCATAGCAATCGCCAAAGCTTATTATCGTAACGAATACATTTATATTGAATTAAGAGTTAAATTAAATTTTATATTTGCGTGAGATTTGTAATCGGTGCCCCGAGATACTCCCATGTCTCTCACCACTACACTGAATTAGAGTGGCCCTTCCCCTCCTTTAGAAGACAATATTTCCTAGGTACGTTCCTCTATCAAATCATCAACAATCATCGTCCTTCCTATTACATTCCTTCTCACAGATCTGCCTCGTTCCAAAACTCCTTTATTGCTCGTTCTGTTAGTTTCTGGAATTCCCTTCCTATCAAAATTCGACATTCTTCATCCCTATCTAAATTCAAAACCCTCCTATTCCAATTCCTGTCCCCAAAACAGTCAGATACCAGCTAACCTTTTATGTAAAATTACATATTATTTATAATAACATATTCACATATAGCTCATAACCTAAATACTTATTATAGATTCGACTTTCTTTTTTCTTTTTTTTTTTTTTTTCAACAGAAACACAGATTTTACTGTTAAGAAGAATTTACATTTATTTTTTCTGAATTTTTTATTTTTTCTAAAAGGGTTTATTTATATTTTAACATTGTACATAGTTTTAAGTATCTTAGTATGGTTTCAAGAGTTTTGTATATAGATTTTTTTATTTTATTTTGTATATAGTATGTATAACTAATTTTTTTTTCTTTTTTTTTACTGGTTTATCTTTATCTTAACTTTTTATGTTTGTTTTTATCTGGCCAGATATAAAATTTTAATTTCTGTACTTTTTGGTTATTCTGAAGGGACTTCGTCCCAGAATAAAATTATTTTTCTATTCTATTCTAACCTTCTCCAATTCAAGTCCTCAGTCCACAAGATGTCGACCTTCCGACCTTTACATTCCTCCTCACAGATCTGCCTCGTTCCAAAACTCCTTTATTAATTTTTTTTTTTTTTTTTTTTTTTTTGAAATCTATTTATTGAATAATAATACAATCAGCCACTGCTGGAGGGCTATAAGCATTAGGGCTAAAAGTTCTCATTCATACAATATATACAAATAATAAAGAAATAAATATAAATATAAGAAGTAAATAAATAATACTGATGAAGAAGGTAAATAAATAAATAAAAAAAATAAAATAAAATAAAAACTTCTAAACACAATCATAACTATATACAATATATACATTTGCCCAAGAATCTCCGAGCCAGGCTTTTACCTCCACACGCGGAAGGCAAAGCAAGACTCCGGAAGATCCCAGTGCCACTTTTCCAGTCGCATCACTAGTATTAGAAGCCAGTGGAGACTGAAAGAGGGCAATACAGCCACAGGCGCTCAGGACATGAGTGGAGAAGCTGGCCATTGCCAGGACTCCAAAGGCATATTTACAAAAGATCTCGAGGCCACTGCCGTTTCAACCTTCGAGGGGGATGGTATGGATGCTCGGAGCTGGATAGGGATTGCGCTAGAGGATTGGGATGATGAATGAGGTTCTGGTGAAAGTTGGAGAATCTGGATGGGATGATGTCATGGACATATGGGATGTTAAGGTCATGGTGTAGGGTCTTGTTCGTGACATAATATGGAGCATTGACTATTGTTCGAAGGACTTTGGACTGGAAGGATTGGATGCGTTTGATATTCGATGATTTAGTTGTCCCCCACAGTTCGAGTCCGTAGGTCCAGATAGGTTTCAGTATGGTCTTGTAGATTAATAATTTGTTTTCTGTTGAGAGATGAGATCTTCTGTTTAGTAGTCTATATAGCTGACCAAATCGTCGGTTAAGCTCTTGTCTTTTAAGTCTCGTATGTGGGTTCCAAGTCAGTCTTTTGTCCAGAAGGAAGCCAAGGTATCGGACTGTGTCTGAGTAGGGAAGAGGAATTGAATTAAAAAGGATTGGCGGACAGGATCTGCGTCGAAGAGTGAAAGTTACATACTTGCATTTTGATTCATTAATTTTGATGCGCCAGTTGTTGCACCACTGCTCAATGAAGGAAAGGTGTCTTTGCAGGTTCTGGGACGCTATTAGAGGATCCGAGTGGGAGGATAGGATGGCAGTATCATCAGCAAATGTTGCTAGGAAGGTATCAGGACTTGAAGGGATGTCAGCGGTGAAAAGGATATAGAGAACTGGGCCCAAGACACAAATTAATTTTTTTTTTTTTTTTTTTTTTTTTTTTTTTTTTTTTTTTTTTTTTGGAATTCCCTTCCTATCAAAATTAAGCATTCTTCATCCCTATCTACATTCAAAACTCTCCTATTCCAATTCCTGTCCCAAAAACAGTCAGATACCAGCTAACCTTTTATGTAAAATTACATAATATTCATAATAATGTATTCACATATAGCTCATAACTTAAATACTTATTATAGATTCGACTTTCTTTTTTTTTTTATTTCAACAGAAACACAGAGTTTACTGCTTAGAAGAATGTAATGTTTTATTTTTATTTTTTCTAAAAGTGTATATTTATATTTTACCATTGTACATAGTTTTAAGTTTCTTGGC